TAGTCATGCTAAAGTTCATTCGTGTTTAAATGTTGACTATGTTCAGGGATTATTATAGAAACACATTTGGTCAGAATCAGAGATACTCAGACACCAAAAACTGAAGCATTTCTAATCTCACTTTTTTGACTTACTGCCTTAACATTATTCTCCTAAATTGAGTTTATTATAATCATTTTAGCATTCATTCTAAAGTTCTGTTGAGATACTTATTACAACTTGAGGCTATAGATGGTGGGTGAAATACCTGGCATTAATTTCAGATAATCATATAAAATTGATCCTCTATATCTCATAGTAAACAGTTGCAGTGTAATTGAACTAAATTCCCAGAATCTTTGCCAATGACCTGAATTCTAGGTAAGACAGTAAAAGGAATTGACACGATTTTGAATTCCTCGGCTTCTTCAAACTCTGTATCTTCCAAACCCCATATAGTTTCAGGTTCCTCCAGTCACTCATAGCCCCATTTCTTTCTTAGTTTCTCATTAGTTGGCTCCTGCACACTTGGATGAATAAATGCATTTTGTTTCAGATACTAGCAGAACTGTCTGATATTATATATGTCTCCTGTTCAAAATATAGCTTGATTTTTACATCAGATTTTATCTACTGTGTATTCCTACTTAGGAAAAAGACAGAAATGAAAATTTCTCTCCTCTATGAGACAATTTGGAGAAGTTTTACTATTTCATTGAAGCAAATTTTTATAATTTTTCATGCTAGTATTTGAAAATGACAACCATATATAATATTAATTTTTCTATACATTTCTTTTTAATCATATTGCACTTTAATTTTTCATTTAAAAGAAGTTTTGGACACAATATTAACACTTCCAAGAAATAACACATTCACCTTTTGAGAAACAGGGAAGGAAAGACTGAGGAGGAAGGTAAAGAGATTATTAATAGGCCACTGTTATTTTGGAACATAAAACACGCAAACGATGAAACTCAAAGAAGTTTTATGACAAGCAGTTATATCCCAAGTACCATTTTAAAAGGTACATTAAATTTTCTACAGTTCCATATAAATCAAAGGCCCATGTTTACACCATTGTTGAAAATTTCTATTTTATTTGGAGAAAATAAAAGCTATCAGCTACCTACAGAAAAATTTTGGAATTCTTTGTGAGGATGGAAAAATCCAAGAATATTTTAATTGTATTATATTCACTTGGAATACTGAATTATGCCATCACTTTGCCTATCTGAGTGAATCTTTCAGTGCCTTATTTTGCATGTGGAACTAAATGCCAATAGGCATTTCATTATCATCCTCCAGAAGTTTTGCCTGCAGGAATTTGAAGAAGCTGCAAAAGATAATGAAGGGTGGGAATTGTGGGTTTGACCTTAATTCCAAAATGTTGCTGTTGTGTTATTACAAGCCTTTAGGATGTGGACTATGGGCCAATTAGTTGCTGCACATGTAACTACAGCTCTGATCAACAACCTTGAGAATGTTGGCAGGCCTTGTTCAAGAAGGGGAACGAGTGAGAGATGATGCACTCTCCAACACATAATTCTCTTTGTTCCTGGAAAATTAACTCAGTGTGTTTGCTGCACTGCTATGGCATTGCTAGAAAATCTTTGTCAACTAGGGCAGTACTGTATTTCCCAGCTAGGTTCCAATTTTTATTTTAATTTGCCAATAGTCAATCAGGAATAGTTACTCATAGCACATTTTGCAAGAAAAGAAAAAATTTAGATCAAAGAAAGTGGAAGGAAACCTTGTTCCTCTTTGATAATGACATTGCAGATGTTAGAGCAAGGGTATAATTAGGCTTCCTCCTACCCCCCCGTTTTAAAAATAAGTTCTGTTTTACTCAAAGAGAAGAGGTAGCTGCCTCAATATTTCTACAAAATAGAACTCCATGATTTAATTAAAAATTACATATCATTTAATAGTTTTCTTCTCATCTTTTGAAACTATGGAAGAGCAGAGTGTAAACTTGGAAAAGGCTGTTTTTACAATGCTCAAATCATAAAGCTGAAGTTTTGCCTCCTTTTTGTTTGCTTTGCCTTGTCTTGCTTTCCATCCTTCAGAAATACACATGTGCTCTTTTTCTGCTCCTCCTTCCCTCCATAGATAGAGGACCATGGCCTACAGAACAAGGATTTTAATAATGTGATGGGAAGATTTTAGAAAATGCTTCAAAGAACACTATCTGATGTAAACTCTGTTGAAGAGATATTGTCAGGAGGTTAAGTAGGAAAATGACTGTCAATATGGCAGGAAGGAGAATACTTATTTGGTTTGGATTCCTAATCATTACTTCTCCAGCATCTATCACAATGTGTAGTCCATCCTGTGTACCCAATAACTTCAGTGATAAACAGAATAGATAGTACTCACAGTGGATTTTCAGAGAAAACCCAGAAAAGAAAGTGATTAGGGGAAGAGCAAGAATAATCTAGTTAAAGAATGATTAGTGCTTGAAGAGAAAGAAGGGAAAAGATATGGCAGGCAGTAAAGAACACAGGATTAGAAGGTACAATATGGATCTAATATTTTCACTAAAGGTATTTCACTATCTATCTATCTATATATATAATATTATAAAGTGAAGTGAAAGTCACTCAGTTGTGCCCTACTCTTTGTGACCCCATGGACTGTAGACCGCCAGGCTTCTCTGTCCATGGGATTCTCCAGGCAAGAATACTGGAGTGGGTAGACATATATATGTATATATGGCTTACATATATATCTTATATATTGGAAGGACGGATGCTGAAGCTGAAACTCCAATACTTTGGCCACCCGATGAGAAGAACTGACTCTTTGGAAAAGACCCTAATGCTGGGAAAGATTGAAGGCAGGAGGAGAAGGGGATGACAGAGGATGAGATGGTTGGATGGCATCACCAACTTGATGGACATGATTTTGAGCAAGCTCCAGGAGTTGGTGAAGGACAGGGAAGCCTGGCATGCTGTAGTCCATGGGGTTGCAAAGAATCAGACATGACTGAGTGACTGAACTGAACTGAACTGATATATCTTATAGGTCTTTCAAGATGGTGCAGTGGTAAAGAATTCACTTGCCAATGTAGGAGATGCAAAAAGATGTGGGTTCAATTCCTGGATTGGGAAGATCCTCTGGAATAGGAGGGGTCTTCCCTGATAACTCAGTTGGTGAAGAATCTGTCTGCAGTGCAGGAGACCCTGGTTCGATTCCTGGGCCAGGATGATCCACTGGAGGAGGGATAGGCTACTCACTCTAGTATTCTTGCCTGGAGAATTCCATGAACAGAGGAGCCTGGCAGGCTGCAGTCTGTGGGGTTGCAAAGAATAGGACGCAACATGTATTTTATAATTGTCTTAAGCAAATGTGGTATCCAAAAGTCAAAATTCCTTTTAAGTATAAGATCTTGCTTTTTGAAAACTGCTTTACCACCCTAAACACAGCCACCTCCAGTGGATAATTTAAACTCTTATTTTTTCAAAAAAATTATAGTGTGCCTACATGATTGTGTTGACAGTTCTGATGAAGTTTACACAGTGCTGACCAACAACCATTCTTGAACACATGAGTTAATCAAACAAACACTTTAATAACATGCTAGGGAAGAGGAGTTGCCTTTCTTGTAAAATTCAAGAGGCATCAATCAAGAACCTTTTTTATTCTTTTAAGCAATGTGGTTGACTGACATTGATATAATTCCCTGAAGGCTGTTTCCAGGCAAACTCTGTAACTAAGTTGAAGGAATAGGGAGGCATGTTAAATCATTTTAATGAAAGATTAGCATCTCAATAAATCAAGGGGTGTAAAGGAAAATAATAAGAGAAAAATGGAGATTATCCACCAAGAGAATCACTAGTTGCTCTCTGGGTACTCGATGATTTACTCTTTGTCCTTCTAATAATCTCTTAACTTTTTTTTTTGCTTTTGGTCCCCTATGGAAGAGAAACCATTGGTATATGTGTATTTTTAAAGGGAGAATAAAAAATCTGTATGTATATATAGAAATATGAATAAATACACAAACACATGCCCATATAACTATACAAATAAATCACCTCTTTCCATAGATAGAAAAGAGTTTGACTAAGGATCTTTGTGGTCTAGTGGCTAAGATCCTAGGCTCCCAATGCAGGGGCTTGGGGTTTGATGTTCTGTCAGGGAACTAGATCCCACCTACTGAAGCTAACAGTTTGTATGCTGCAAATTAAGTTTCCACATGCCAGAATGAAGCCAGAGATCCCTGGTACCATAATTGAGAGCAGGGGAAGCCAAATGAATATTTGGGAAAAAAAATCTAATTGGGTTCTGACCAAAGTTATCACCCCAGAGCTTCTCTTCGCTTAACTCAGGCAGTGATGATCAAGAAGAACATAAAGTTCAGGCATCAGTCTTCTCTCTGGTCCACACTGTCTAAGAGGCAAGTGGCATTTAGGGTACAGACTAATAACTGTGGGTCACACACTGAAGAAAGCATTCTACTTGAAAATATCCTATACAAAATATCAACTGATTTCGACCCTACTATCTTTTTTCTTAATAACTAGTAAAACCTTGCAATACACTTATATTATCATAGTTAGTAGCTATGGAGAAGTGTGTGTGTGTGTGTGTGTGTGTGTGAGAGAGAGAGTCGTTCAGTTGGGTCTGACTCTTTGTGATCTCATGGACTGTAGTTCACCAGGCTCCTCAGTCCATGGAATTCTCTAGGCAAGAATCCTGGAGTGGGTTGCCATTCCCTTCTCCAGCTATGGAGGTGCAATTGCCAAGATATTTCCAAAAATGACCATTTAAAACAGTGGCACTCTTTTATCTTTAGATAGTAACTTTTCTATTGAAGTCTCTGCCTAAATTCCCAATGCTGGCAGAAAATTATTATCTCCACCATTTAGAGTAGATTTGTTTCACTCACAATTGATGGGTTCTTTGAGTTTGTCCACATTATAGCTTTCCCAAAATATGTATGAAGAGTATAGTACATACTAGATTTTGGAAAGGAAGGAAGTCTTTAAAAAAAAGGGCAGCAGTCAACCATCTTGTCCTGTTCGAGCATGCACATGTTTTATTTGAGTATTCTCCAAAGGTCTATTTTTTTCCAGCATAATGCAGATATTATGCTATCCTTTGAAATAAGATATATGAATTTCAAACAAAATTGTCAAAAACAATGACCTTGGTTACTCCATATGGTACACAGAAATAATTACATTTCACTTACAATACAGATGCACTTAACACAGTCATCAATAGTCATTCACCACCAACACAGTATATTTTTAAATCACCTAAAACACCAAAAAGTTTTTTTCTTTTCCAAAAGTCTAAAGAAATTAATAGTTTTGGATAAATGATAACTTGAAAAAGGAGGCAGAATTGTCAACAGAAATAATCTAACTGCATTTTTAAAGGTAATATTAAGACCATGAAAATAGAACTTTTTATTGGGAATAAAGACCTAAGTATTCCTGATTGTGTTTTGTTTAACCTACTTTTTAAAAAGTTTTTCAACAAATGCCATCAAAGAAGTTTCACTATATATTTGCTCTAGAAGCATAAAGTGACATGAGGCAGGTGTTAATATAATTGTTAATATTCACACTCAGGAAGATTAGTGACTTTTAAAAAAGACATACTAGGTATAAAGCCAGTTTTTCCCTAGAGATAGTAGAGTTTATCTGACTTTCACTCAGCAAGTGTTTATAAATCTACTGTGTGCACAGCTTTGTTCTAGAAGCTAGTCTAGAAATGGGAAGCAAGAATTTCTGGCTTTACTTGAAAATGGTTGGATTAATTCCTTTTCATGATAAATTATGATTAAGCATTTTAAAATCTCTATAGTAGAGGGATAATTATTTACTCTTTCCATGTATTGAAGCTAAACTTTATTCCTTACAGTGGTGGTTTGGAATGAACAAAACTTTTCATTGGACATAAAACTTTTTTACATTGTCACGTGCAGACATGTCTGCTGATATATTTTAAAGGTGAAAAGATATCAAGACTTTTCACTTAAATGTACATAGAGATCAATTTTGCATCATCAAAATCCTGTCCTCCTGATTTAGAGGAGAAAAATTGCTCCTTGCAATAAACAGGAAACTTTCTGAGACAAATCTGTGCTGCCTTCCTCAATGGCATAGAAAGCGTGCTTTCATCAAATACTCCTACATAAAGTACTCCTACATAAAGTACTCCAGTTTATCTCCGCACTTCAATTCACATTAGTTATTCTCAAAATGTATTTGAGATCTAAAGCAAAATAAATAATACATCATGTGAGATTCTGGGATCACTGGTTCTGTGATATTAGTCCCAGCTAATTCGTTTCATGAAACATACAATGATATATCCAGTATCTGGGCTTTTCCATAACAGCAAAAAGTCAGAGATAATTCACAGATGTCAACTCCTTTTTTCCCCCTAATTTTTGACAAACAGATAGAGAATGATGGTAATCTGCTGATAAGATAATTTGTTGGGGAATACAAAAGTAGGAAATTCCTTTGAACTACAAAATGTTAGTCTAGTTGATGAGGATAAACCCAATAGAAAGATGCTATAGAAATACAGGAACAAATAATTCACTGTCACAGGAATACAGTGGACCAAACAATATTACAGAAAAACATTTATGGCACAAGGGTTTTGGATTAAAAGGTTATCTAAAACCTGGCCACACCAGAAGTTTTTCTATGGAATGTGGCTCTTAATGTATCTATGAAGATCTGGAAATACAACAACAAAAATATCCTGATTCCTGATACAACAAGTGTACAATTAATTATTGCAGTTGTAACAGTATCTAGGTGCAAGGTAAAACAATGATTCATACTGAACTATCTGAACACTTTAGATGTACTAGTGAGCATCCCCATGAGAAATACTGCAGTTCTAAAAGGAGTTTATTTGCACAGCCCACCATGGAACATGAACAATCAGCTTGTTGTAAGTGCACAGAAATTCCCTCTTTCTACTAGTATAGTTTATCATGCCTATTCTGAAGACAACATAAGGAAACTGAGATAACGGCTCCAAAGAATTCTAGCATGCATTATGATGGTTTCCTTCAGTCAATACAAATGTGTTGTGTGTTTGTGTTTTTTTAATGTGTAATCATCTTCATCATCGCCAATGTTCATGGTTTTAACAGGAAAAATTTTTATCAAAATGTTTTCCATATTTTTTGTTTTGCATTCAACTGGAACATTATGTTCAAAGATTTATTTTATTAAAAAAGAGTTCTGGTCATAAGAAGCATCAATAGGCGGCATTTCATTTGTGCTCATTCACAAAGTCAAAGGGCCACAGACTATTTTATTTCTCTGTATAACAGGTCAAACTGTCCAGAAATGCCATTTGGTGGTTTTATTTCCATCCACAAGTGTGGAAGCTTTGTGTTTGTTTCATTACCAACCTCCTTGCTTTGTCATTTTAATCTGCAGAGTGTTTATTATTTCTTCTTTCTTCCACATTGGGACTGTTTCCACAGCCAGTGCTCAAATTCTCTTGAACCTGATTCCAATTGTCTTACAGAGCAGACACTCTGACGATATTGCCTCCTGAGTACTCGGGAGACTCTGGCCTGTCATCTCCTTCTGGGGTGGTGACTGGAGGTGTTGGGATGCTTATTATTGCTGTAGTCACATAAGGTTGTTCACAGTTTAGTTTAACGCACTCTTCCATTTTGGCATTTAAACTGGATCGGCTGATGAGGAAGAAAAGATTGAAGAAAGAAGGTTGTTTACTTAAAATTTTTTTCTTATAACTAAAGAATACATGTTTTCATGTTTATCACAACATTTTAAAAGGTTAAAAACAATCACCATGACTAAGAAAAATGAAACACCAAAGCTTAAGATAAATTAATGAGAACATTAGGGCGTTAACATCAAAGAAATGTCTAAAAGCCAGCTCAATGTGGTTCAATTAGTGTTCCTCAGTGTTTCCTGCTTTGAGAATGCAAAAAAGAGGATCAGATGAGTAAGAGGATCAGATGAGTTTCAGAAAAACCTAGGCTGAGCAAAGTAAAAGAGTTTTCTTTAAGATAGGATCTCCGAGAGCTCTGAGATACCATAATGAAAGGGATGGGCTTCCCAGGTGGCACTAGTGGTGAAGAATCCTCCTGCCAATGCAGGAGATGTGGGTTTGATCCCTGGATTGGGAAGATCCTCTGCAGAAGGAAATGGCAACCCACTCCAGTATTCCTGCCTGGAAAATCTCAGGGACAGAGGAACCTGGTGGGCTATAGTCTGTGGGGTTGCAAAAGAGTTGGACATGACATAGCAATTAAACAACAATAACAGTGAAGGGGAGATACCCTGTGGATATATCTTAATTCTTTTGACCACAGAATCATTTTACTATCTTGTCTCTTTGGGATACAGGATGCCCTTAAAGCTCTCAACTTAGTGACAGTAAATGTTAAGAATTCAAGTTAGTCATTATCAATACTTAAAAGTTTCCCCCAGTGTTATTCTTGCATGAGTTATATATACTCTGTGTGAGGGGGAGAGAGGGAAAGGGATAAGGAGTGTAGACATAGGAGCTTTAAACTATTCTTTTTCATAGGAAACTTAATTAAGATCTTTGTGGCCCAAGATTTTTTTTTTTTTTTCCTGAACACTCCTCCATTTCCTATCCTGTTTTGGAATAAATGTAAAGCAACATACAGGTAGACTATCTTAGAGACAGAAATCTTCATTGCTCCAACATTTAACATTCTGATTCCAGAAACATCCGATTACATAAAATCGACAGAGCCTGAATTCAGAAGCTCGTTTAGACTTTCCAAAGATGACTGGATGTCAACAAAGAAGTTGGACTGAATTAAAGGTTTGTTAATCTGAAAAGGTAAGCGTTTTAATTTGAAGAGCAAAGGAAAATCATTTGGGCAGAAATAGATATTTTTAATGATTTACCTGGTTGAAATGTACTACTTATTATTACACATGCATGATTATGGTCAAAACAAGTGGCACATAAAGAGAAGCAAAGGGAAAATGCCAATAGAAAAATTACCTTAAATTGTCCATAAACTCACCAGAGGTAAACAATTTGAACATTTCACTTACCTTTGTTTTTGGTATTGGATTGGTTTTTGTGTTTGCTGAGGCCCAAAATACCTTCACAATCAAAACTGTATACTGATTCAAAAGATCCTTCTGGCATAGTTTTATATTTCACTGTGACAATGACTGTATTGATATATTTTGGTGTGTATTGAATACCTTTCAGTCATATCAATGTTAATTTGTCACTTGTGGTTGTGTTGACTATAATTTCAGGTCATTCATGTTTACTTAGGGGACTCCTAAGTGGAGAGGTATCTGCTTAAGAAGAAGTTGTGAGGTTGAAGAGGTAGAAATACATCTGTGAATGCCTGACCTTCTTATCTTCTTTCTACTCTTTTAGTACTGATTTAGCTACTAGCTTTGCCTCTTTCATGAATATTACAGTAGCTCGATTTTCCTATTTGTTTCAGATCAGTTTTGTCTCATTCTAAACCCAAGGAGCTAGGATTTAGATGCCACAGAGGTAGCAACATGACAGCCGGTGCAGATGTGCTCTGAAAAATAGCACAGGTGTGTGGACGCACACAAGTTAATCTCAGGTACCTGTTAGATAGTGGGGTTCTCTCCACACATCTAATCTGAATCGTGCTGAGTTCTTGAACGCTCCCTCGGTGGCTTCCAGATACGTTGGCGTTTGGAATGCGGAAGGTTTTCTTGTGTCGTCTTGAACAGCAAGTGCTGGTGACTCCTTGTTGTGAAGAAAGAGAGGGACTGTGACTTGAAGGACGATTAACTGTTGCAACTTCCATGCAGCTTTCTTCAAAGACTTGTTCATCCACAAATTCGTGATTCTATTTCGTAGCAGTAAGAAATGTGGAGAAAGCACAGAAAGACAGTTTAACTTTAAAAATATTTCTTTATTATTTTTAGTGAAGTATAGTTGACTTACAATATTATCACATTTTACCTTTAAAAAAAAAAAGATTTGAATAGCTTTTTTTTTAGAACTCAAATATGCCCACAGTACATTTAGACTATCTAATGGGTAAAGAAAGTACCATTTTCATAATAATTAGAATAGCAAAGTTTCTTGTCGTTTGTATGAAAATAATATCTCTCCAGTTAGAATCTGAGATTGATATACACAGGCTGATTTAGCATCCATTATAGACTAACTTTATTTGAAATATCATTTATTAATTTAAACATACAATCTGGAAGTTATAAACTAAATATTAAAACTCTCAAAAATGAGTATAGATAATACCCATAGGGAATGTGCAAATTTACATGTATGTTATTTTTTAAACAAATTGACAGACTGAAGTTATGATAAAGAGACTATTTTAATAGAATGTTCCAAGTTAGATTGTCTGTTATATATTAGCAAATATTTTCACATGGGATTGAAAATATTTTTTAATCAGAAAAATGAGATAACTAAGACATTTCCCATTTCTTTAGATGCTGCTCTAAAATTCCCAGTGTATAGAAAAATATGACTTATTAAATAAGTAACATATATTTATCAAAATATATTACTTTATATTTGACCTAGAAGCAGTTAACACTGAACTTCTGAGGTCTCCATTCTTATCTTTGTAATATATTACTGGTTGGACCCATGATCTGTACCTTTGATCTTATAACCCAGAAGTCAACAGTGGTGGACATCATTTCACATAGCACATCATACAGAAACACAGTGTAAAATTTAATTTTAAAATATTTAATAAAGAATTGGCTCATAAACCACATATGGAAGACTTTTACCTCAGAAATAAAAGAGAAAACATTTTTGGTTTAAACTACTAAGAATGTTTTCAACTACTATTATTTTTTTGTGTGTGGGTAGGAATAGTCTTATAATGGAAGGCTTTGCTCATGCCAAATTTCACTTAAGCATCTCTCATCCAAAAATATTAGTAAAACAATGGAAGGAAATTGCTGGCTAATAGGAAATAGATTGCTTTAGTTATTCATTTTGCCATTTCTTTGCTAAGATAAGCATTTTTCAGTAAATGAAATTTAACATTCTATTTAAAGTCCAGAGGATAATATGATCATCTAAGACAGAATTTCATGTTAAATATTAATTTTTATAGAAAAAATTATTGCTTACAAAGGAGTCACAATCTGTTGTCTTCTCTTACATGCACATTTCACACACAATATACAAGTTATAAGGCATGACATCCTAATTTATCTCATCAGTGATTGGAAGGGAAGAAGCCATTTTGTGACAGATTATCTCATATTCTGGAGTAGGTAGCTCCATTTAAACTATATTAGTAACTCAGTTTAGTGTTAATAATAATTTAGTGTTACATAATTTATGATTAAAATCACCCTAAAAAGCTTCCCTGGTGGCTGTGATGGTAAAGAATCTGTCTGCAATGCAAGTTCATGGGGTCACAAAGTGTTGGACGTGACTGAGCAACTAACACTTTCACAAAAGGTAAAATAGTCAAAAAACGAAAATAAAAAGAAAAAAAATGGTAGGGATAAATACATTTGATTAGAGTAGTCATTTAACTTTCAAAGTTATCCTAATATAGAACCTTATTTAAGATACTAATATAATCAGTAACCACTTGTTTAAAACCTTCAAATATTTTTCCATTTACTATGAGATAAAGATCAAAATTCTTTACGTGCCTCCAAAACCCAAGGTCATCTGCCCACTGACTTTCTCTGTTCCTCCTTTCTGTTACAGGAAAGGACAAAATCTGACTCTATGTTGGATCTGCTTATTTAACCTTTTGCTCCCTGTTGCTTTTGTTTACTAAAAGTATACTGTCTATACATAGTGGCCTGACTTGGGGAACCCTGCCCCTCTGCCTGAATATTAAACCAATGTGCTTTTGTTGAGGGAGACATCCTGACCCTGTCCATCTGGTACAGGCAGGAAGAAATTAATATATCCCCTCCCCGAAGCTGAGCATTCCAGGAGATGTATGCAAGATTAATAGCCTTTTTATTTTACTTCCTAATGTCCCTCCTCTCTGTCCTATAAGAGAACACGGCGTTCAGACTTTGGTAAGATGGTTATTTTGAGACATTAGTCAGCCATCTTCTTGGTCTGCTGACTTTCTGAATAAAGTTGTTATTTCTTGCCTCAACACCTCGTCTCCAATTTATAGGCCTGTCATGTAGTGAGTAGAGTGAGCTTGGACTCGATAATATTTGTGTCACAGTACCCTCTTTCTTTCTGACAACCAACCCTCAATTTCCTTTCCTTCCTCTTAGGCCAAGTTCCAGTCTTCTCCAGGTACTTACACCTACTTTTAGCCCCTTCATCTCTTTGCTTAACTAACTCATAATCGTCCTGTGGGTCTCAACTCAATTTTCTCCAGGAAGACTTGCCTGATCCTGTACCCCCTGGCTGCACCTTCTTCACCCCTAGTCCACTGGGGCCTCATTGTTTTTTCCATGCCTACTGTCCTTCTCCAGTAACATCCATATTTTGTCCCAGACCTGGAGGCTCAAGTAGGCCAGAGGTCATACCTGACTTCATGGTATATCTTGGGTCTGGCTGACTGTCTGATACATTACAGGCAAGAAATACATATTGGTTAAAATACTATATAGATAAATGAATAAATGGATGAACAATATGTGAGAACTGACTACAAATATGTGTCTCTGGTGAGTGGACAAGCAGACCTGATTCAAATACAGTGAAAATTTTATTCTGCTCTGTGGTCACAGACTGTGATCCCTTTTGACAACCTATCTAAGGAACAGATACCTTTGTTAAAGAGGAGGTCCAACTGGGAGCTTATAAGGGAAGAAATGCAGACTCAATCCTCAGGCCCTAGGGGTATACCAGTAATTAAATGTGTCATTTTTCTTAAGAGAATAGATAGTTTTTATTGTCTATCTCTGTTCATTATACCTGTGAATGAAAGAAACACTTATTTTCATTTATTCTCTATTTTGTTATTGCTATTCCCTTTTCCCAGATGTCAGGAACACTTAAACTTCATTATTTTTTTCTGTTTAATCAGCATTTTAAGAAGCAGGAAAATATATTTTATAGACCTTGCAGTTAGCTATTGGAACACAACTTTCTATCTACATTCAACTGATATTTTAGCCTAAAGTTAAGATCACCCCTAAAGTTAATAATATTTTAAATAAGTCTATAAAATACTTTCTATGTTGAAAGGTCACTAGAGCCTTTCAAAATAATTTCAATTATTGTGGATTTTTTGGGGGGGGGGATCTTAGTATGTTTTGCAGTAATGCACATAGTGAAATCACACTTGGAAACCTTAAATATTCACAGAAACCAATGGGATTACTGTCTGAGTTGCAGGGGCAGGCAGTCCTGCATTTTCCTTACCGTGGTTTTTTCCAGGCAGTGAAGCAGGTGGTGGTGCTGGGTTTCAAAGCTGGAGCCAGATTTGCTAACAAAGGCCTGCTCATCCTCGGAGGACTGTTAACAGAGAGAAGACAGAAGGGCTTTCTATTTTATTTGCAAACAATGAGAATCTCAGCTACATATTTCTACTGAGAGATCTGGCCTATTTTCTGAGATTAAATGGCAGTATTTTATTTTTACTTTCTTTTTTTTTAACTGAAAAGGATCAAATATAGAGTTCCTTTTGAGTTTGATAATCATCATTTACATTTTCATCAAATTAGTGGTCTCAGCTTTTAGACTTGCCTCCCTAAATTGAAAAATATAATTCTCTTTTACTCATTCATCTCCCAGCTACCTTTGAAAGTCTGAGAGCCATTATTTTTGGATAATAATTTTTAACCTAGTACTTAGATAATCCTGAAACCACATCAGGCTCACCTACACAAAAGCTATTATGTAATAAGTAAAGATGATTGGGATCCTAAATATTAAAAGAAAATTTTAAGGTGAAAATTAAGTTTCTCAAATTACATTTCATACTATGTGACTTTTATAACACTGAATGATGTTCCCTCCTCAATAAGAAGTACAGTAAGTCCCTTACATACAAACCTTCAAGTTGTGAGCTTTCAAAGATGCAAATGTACATCTGGTTCCAGCAAGGAACCAGAACTTGTGCCATCAAATCCAGGTGTGAGTGAAATTGCGGCTTGCCTCCAACTCCTATTACTGACGATTCTTTAGCTCTACCATCTCCCAGGCCTCTCCTTCCTCCAGTCAATAACTCTTGCCTATTCACTCAATGCAGTCCCTGTGTGCCAGCTGTGGTTCTGTACTACTCTAGTACAGTATATATATAGTATAGTACAGTATACCTTTTCAAGGTGCTAGCTATACTGTCAGATTAAAAATGTTTTCTTTATTTTTTGTGTTTGTTTTTTATTATTTTTGTGAAAAGGATTATAAAGCTATTAAAGTACAGTACTACATAGGTGATTGTGTTAGTTGGGTATCCAACTAACAGGCTAACCCTGTTGGACTTATGAACACATTGGACTTATGAACACATTCTCAATACGGAGCTTGTTGGTATGTAGGGGACTAACTGTAAAACAAGATATCACATCACCCCTCCCATCGACACCCAAATGAACTTTAAGGAACACACCTAAGTTTGAAATAAAAAACCTAGGTATCTGAACTGTTGAGAATTTTCCCCATGTTTACACGAGATAGTGCCAAATACTGCCCTATCATGAAAGGGAATCATGACTCACTGGCACTATGACATATCCCAGCTTCTAGCCTACAGCCAATAAGATGGTACAGGGTGAGATTACATTAACAAATGACACTTTTGTTGTTTCAGAGCCATTTTCATAATTACTCACAATAAAATTACATGGTTAAGTAGAACTAAATCAATATTGCACCAATAAGTTGAACATTAAAAGAAGAGAAATTCTTGACTGTACCTGCAGTTGGTTACTGAGTAAGCCATTCCGTTTGCTCTGCATGTAAGCATTCGCACTTCCGCTTTTGGCTGCCCGGATCCTGGCCAGTCTGGCTTTCTATAGGAGCAAAAAAAAAACAATGTCCTCCTAAGATCTATGGTTGGTTTTCTTAAAACACTGATTGCACGCTTATATAATCCTGTTATCAGCACACATATTTAAAAAAGCATACCAGCTTTTCACACTAACTATTGAAAAATAAACTTTCAACATTTGAGTGTTTGATTTTAGCTAACATTTATCACTGAGATTCTTGTGTTGTTGGAAGAGGGTGTTTGTTTGCTATGACCAGTGTGTTCTCTTGGCAAAACTCTATTAGCCTTTGTCCTGCTTCATTCTGTACTCCAAGGCCAAATTTGCCTATTACTCCAGGTGTTTCTTGACTTCCTACTTTTGCATTCCAGTCCCCTATAATGAAAAGGACATCTTTTTTGGGTGTTAGTTCTAAAAGGTCTTGTAGGTCTTCATAGAACCATTCAACTTCAGCTTCTTCAGTGCTACTGGTTGGGGGTATAGGCTTGGATTACCGTGATATTGAATGGTTTAGCTTGGAAACGAACAGAGGTCATTCTGTCGTTTTTGAGATTGCATCCAAGTGCTGCATTTCAGACTCTTTTGTTGACCATGATGGCTACTCCATTTCTTCTAAGGGATTCCTGCCCACAATAGTAGATATAATGGTCATCTGAGTTAAATTCACCCATTCCAGTCCATTTTAGTTTGCTGATTCCTAGAATGTCGACATTCACTC